GGTAATAGGGACTGGGCCACAATCACATCAGCAGAACATCTGAAACTATGCTTTGTACCGACGAAGATGAAATCTTGAGATTACACATCGTGCGCCGTTGTCTTTTCCTTTCTGGTACCGGAGTCGACACGAAAATCCCGTTTATATGCAAGATAATGCACCAATTTATGTCAGCCGTACCTTGGTCAGCTGGCACCAAGTCGCTCTCTGCCCTGCCCGTCGAATCGCAATGTCTTGAATCCAATGGGAAACGTGTTAGGTTTCATGGCCCGTAGAATTTAAGCCAATAACGCTCGACTAAAGGGCTTCTAGAAGGGCAATTACCGAAGCCTGACATCAAGTTCACCTAAAGCTTATCGATAAGCTCTATTTGAGCATGGAGGCCCTATAGATTATTAAGTTGACAATTTGGCTTCCCGGTTGTGCTTACGTTGTTGAAAGGAAGCGATTACTTAAGTGGAAGTATGATTATGTCAAAAAGTCCAAGTTATTGTTTTTCAAAAAATTAAGATATCTAACACGTTTTCTTTTCGAAGACTTTTTCAAAAACTTAATTGGACGAACGATTTCCAGAGAATCAGAGGTGGGGGAATAATTATGTCCAGCAGTGTACAGCATTGCGGACTGTCGGGGCGGCTGAGCCGCGCTGCACTGTGACGCGACAGCGGCTGCGGCTGACGGCGAATCAGCTGATTTCGATGGAATTCGGCTGCGAATTCCCACTTTTTCAGCTCTTCAAGCTTCTAAAGTGGAAGGTGAGTTATTCTGAACAATTTTAAATTGTACTGACTCTGAATGAATCTGAAAGAATGCAAGCCATTTGAATAAATGCCTGAAATAAGGCAAAATACAAGGAAAAGAGCATAATAATAGACATAAAAATAAAGGAAATTAGAGCCAGTACAATTCAAAATTGTTCAAATAACTCACCTTCCACTTTCGAAGCTTGAAGAGCTGAAAAAAGGAATTCGCAGCCGAATTCCATCGAAATCAGCTGATTCGCCGTCACCGAGCCGCAGCCGCTGTCGCGTCACAGTGCAGCGCGGCTCAGCCGCCCCGACAGTCCGCAATGATGAGGACTGTACTTGCACAAGGAAGGACCTGCGATTCGGTTGAGCGCGGGCAACGTCTCTAATCTTTTTTATGTGTTCGTACGAAGTAGTAGAAGTCCAAAATAAACGTAACAAGGAACTGTAAAACGCAGTTCGAAGAACCATTATTGCGTGAGAATTGGGGGCAGTTGTCAGGAGAGGAACAGAGTCCTGCGCTATCTGATTTCCTTAGCGGTGTAAAAATGGTTGAATTGGAACCAAAGCTGAAATTAAATTCGTTTCACGAAGTCGCGATTTTGTATTGGAACATTGTGAATTAGGTTGAAAAGTAGTGTAATGGAAATGAAAACGTCATCTAAGTAGTGGGAAGGAGCTGAATTGTCCTCTATTAAAGACAGCTCCCGCGATAAAAGTCTCATGGATAGCTGCTTTCCAATTATGAAACAGTAGCTGATAAGTAATCTCCCAAAGAAGAAAACAGGCAAGAAGCGTCCTCCAGAACAACATAAACAAAATCGCTCCCTCACAGTCACACCTCCCTGCGGTCTCTGTGCAACCCCTAGCTCACAAATCTCTCTCTCACAGTAGTTGATATCATCCAGTGCAAAAAAAAAGAATACAAAAAGAAAACAACAAAAACGCAGAGGAAAAACTCTTGGAAGGAAAAAGGAATTTTATCAACGCGGTGTCTGAATTTGGGATTACGGTAGCGCACGTTTTGTGCGTCGAGGTTTTGCATCACGAAAATTGCGTCACTCGTGCTTTTTACGCGTTTCACCTCGCGAAATGAGTTGAATTGAATGTATATACCTCCAATGAGTAAACTGTAATAAAGGGGAGCAGAATTATCCATGGGCATTAGCAATGCCCGCCGCCCCGACTAAGAACAACTGAGTGGCCTCCGTCGGAGGACATCTAGCAAGTAAGGCGGTCCAACTGAGCAGGCGTTAGAACTAGAACTTACAGCGGCTGTAGCTCGCTTCTCGCTCGCTGTGCAGACGAATAGAGTGGGACAGTCTCTAGCTTGGGGGCTGTACTACTTGCACAAGGAAGGACGACCATGTACTACTCGAGCGCGGGGGCTGTCTTTAAGTGGTCTCTCCAATGCAATTCTGTTGCATTGAAGAGACCTCTTGTGGTTAGGGCAATGTAACTTCCGGGGCAATCGAACAGTGTTACAAACTCAACAGATTTCGAGCAAACACCTATGCTTTATCTATTATTTTGGAGATAACGTGTCTATTAAGGTCCCGTTTGATGGTATATGGATTGATATGAACGAGCCGTCTAGCTTCGGTACCAACGAAGATAAGCCGTGGTATTTCGATGACCCTGACCATCCTAAACTGACACCCCTTCACTGTCCATTGAATGGCACAGACAGCGAGTGGGATATGCCCCCTTATCAAACACATGCCGTGTATAATTTCAGAGTGAGTTGTGACACCATGCAGAAGATGATTATGAATCAGAAAGCCAAGAACATGCCCTCTACCATTTAGAGAGAGTCGTTGTCAACCAAAACACTTTGCATGTCAGCAGTACAAGCGGATGGTAAGCTGCGGTTGTACAATTCGAAAAGCCTTTACGGTTGGAGTGAGGCGAAATACACCATCCAAGCTCAGCATGCTGCAACTGGAAAAAGAGGAGTCGTCGTTTCTAGGTATAGCAGACTGCCCAGTTTTTCTCTCTTTTCCACTAAAGTTCTCTGCATAGTAGCGTCGAAAATTACAAGAAAGAATTGGGTATTTGTTATTGAAAGCACTCTTGTTAGCACTTATAGATCGACTTTTGTATCAGCTGGACGTTTTGCTGGGCACTGGTTAGGGCGACAACACAGCTTCATGGGCCGATCTCAAACATGCGGTCATCGGAGCCCAGGAATTCAACATGTTTGGCATACCGTGAGTGGTGATTGAACGAACAAAGGTTTTGCAGTTGATCGACCCCTTGATCGAGCGACATCATATACTCTTGTAACAACGCTTCATATCAATTGTACTTCATGAGTGAAGCGACAAGGGACCAGCGTCGTTGTGAATTCCGGCCATCTGTGGGCGGGTGGTTGCAGTGAGCGTCCGGGTCGGCATGCTGCACCGTGGTTGGGCTATAATGGCGCCCTCGGTTGGAAAAGGTGCCGCTGCTTCTGCTCGGGAACTCAATACTCTTCCATGTTAGCTGTCTTTACCCTACATATATGCCTTGCCAACTCATTCTGCCAGTTGCCTTTAAAAAATGTGGTGGTTTTTAAAATACATATGACCTACACTCAGGATAGTTTGTCAGCCCTTGTTGAAATCAGTGGTTTCATTTAGCTGAACAAGCTTCTAACCCGATACGAATTTCAAGACTGGGTTGCGCGTCTTGTCCCTCGGTGAGAGGTCAATGGCACCACCTCCACCGAAAGGATGGTACTCAGAGGAAAACCATTTCTTCACAGGTCATGATTCCTTTCGGAATCCTTTCTGGAGCCTCCAATCAGTCTCACTTCGATTTCGAAATTTTCATGCATTTTTATCGTCTAAACAAATTTCAGTTCAGTGCGCTTTCCCGTCACCAATTTTGCCCGGCTTTTGCCCAGTTTTAACTTCCCTTCTTTGCTGCAACAAAGCAGCAGTATACTCTTACTCACGACCCTTATCCGGACATTGCTGACCCCAAGCGTGCTTCCTCATATTTGACGTCATCTACTGGATAGCAAAAAGTCGCACAACACATTTGTGGACAAGTTTCCTTTTACAAAACATGTGATTCATAACAGTAACATAACTTGAGGCGGATGTGATATAGTGGCAAAAGGCACGCTTACCACGCGCACGGCCCGAGGATAAAATTCTGGGTTAGCTCCCGCCCAGGCTAACCGAGCCTTCTATCCCCCGAGGACGATAAACCGGTACCAGATTCGTGCGGGAGAATAATAACACCGACCTGTATATCCGCTTCTCCGCACTTCATTGTGGGCCACACCCCATTCAATAAGTCACTGCAGTTCTGAATGGAGGAAGAATGCGTGCCACAGCAAAAAGAGGTCTTAATAACACCTTAAACTGTATCCTTTTATCCTTTTAACTTAACTTACAATAAGAGTGTTGTAGGAATAGTTAAACGTTCTGAAAATAGGTATGTCGGATCGGACATCTGCGGATTTATCGCAACGCCTTCGGAAGAACTCTGCCTAAGATGGCAGCAAGCAGGCGCATTCCACTCCTTCATGAGGTGCCTAATTGTCAGTTCTCTTTTTTTAAATTTGTTTCTTCTTCTCCTAAACGACACTAACTTCAAAGCAAGACAGTTCAATGATAAGTAGGCCGATGGAATGAAGCATGTGATAAGTCTGGGCATTTTTCTTCATTCCTCTCTTCTTCTTTTCTGCTTCAGCATTTACCCGCCCTGTAGTCCGCTTTTCTTATTTTGTGACCCTATTTCTCCCGATTAAATGCCAGATCGGGATTGGTGTCACTACCTCCAACTACGTTACTATTTTCACTACAGGAACCCTAAGGACTACTGTCCGCAGAGTTCATAGGGTTCCTGTAATGAAAATAAAGGCCCATTCACGGCGAGGCGGAGTCTTAGAGTGACATTCTTGCACTTGGCTCACCGAATATAAGCCTGGCAACTTGCGAATAACCATCTGATTGACCCAGTTCTCCTTGAAGCTAAACGTCCGCCTGTATGCACTTCGTTCACCCAGCGCTTCACAGCGCTGGACGACCTCCACGAGTTGAGCAAAATAAAAACGAATAGAATTCCTCAGAGCACTATCTACGTTCTCTTCTTGTGTCGCTCTCGGAAGAATTTCTTTTGACCTCGGCATGCTAGGTTGCTATATTAACGATATCTTCCGAAGTTTCTGGGTGGAACCCTTCATTTTCGGTCCAAAGTGGTTTCGATGCAAATGTTTCCTTCAATGCCTCAAACAGAGGATGTCGCAAATACTGTGCCAACATGACCCTCTCCAAAGTGGAGGCTCGGTACGACCTTCCCTTTCAGCATGAATCGTTCAATTACGCGGCCTAATACTAACATTGAGTGCGAGAGTGCCACTTTAGCGTAGTTACTGATGCACGTAGTGGGCACAAAATGGCGCTCACGCTTATTATTACTTACTATAAGAGGAAGGATCAACAAGTGACCTGGTTTCATCTAGGTTCACTTGGGCCAGGGTCTTACGCCTGAGGTTCGTATTTAGATCAAAGAGGTATCTACTTGGGCCCGCCTCGGAATAGCCCTGGCTAGTTGCGTTGCTCGGGCTGATCCTTCTTCTTATATATCTAAACTAGTCCCACCGCCTTAGTTGCTTACTGGAGAAATTCTGTCTTTCTATAGTATAAAGGCATACGCTTTCATTAATTATGAACTCGGTAGTTATGTATAATGTTTCCTCGTCCTCTGACGCAGGTCCACATGGCTCATCAATTTCACCCTAATGTAGTGCTGAGGTGTAGTATGGGGAAGAGGTTTTTAATGCATGATCCGGTTTGTTGCCTATGTTCTACTTGGCTTGTACGCCCTCGTTTTATTGCTTCCCTCCGCATTTAGTTAGTATACCTAACGGTTTATGTTTTCTTTTGTTTCGGTTTGATTTGCCAGCGGTTTGATTTGCCTTCGAGCGGTTTGATTTGCCTTTGAGTTGGTATGCTCTTAATATTCATGTTCTTTTTTGCTGTCGATGGTGCACGTAAGTGCTAGTAAACAAATAAACAAATAAACAAATAACATTAAGAATGCCGGGGACGCGTTGCGGTAGACCACATGTGTTGGAGCAGATCCTTTTTCGTGATGTCAGAACTTTGCACTTGGGAACCCTATGCCTTCACGAAGGCGCCAAGGTCCATGAATTCGGAGAGGGATCAAGCTCTTCTGAAATGGAAGGGATACCAAAACGAATGGCGTGGCGGTCAGTAGCGGATTCCTTCGAGGACTGCGTCTCCGCCGTTAAGAGGAATATTCAAAAATGGAGGCGACTGCAAGTTCTGTATCTTCGTGGACAGAGGAGGACGTCCGCAAAGAGTCAGCAAGTATGAAGGTTGAAAAAGCGCTAGGATTAGATGAGGTATCAAATAAGGCAGGGAAAGCGCTCGGAGAACACGAAGCGAGATGATTCCCTCGTTTTCTGAGCAACACAACAGCTGATGGGAGAATGTCAAATGCAAGGAGGAGCAGCACAATCGTCCCCAACTGAAAGGAGATGCGACAGTGTTCCAACCACCACGCGGAACCAAGCTTACCTGAAGGTCCATCCAGCCATGAAGGTGTACGAGCGTCCAGCCAGCACAAAACTAAGTAAACTTGTTCTCGTGTCGCAGCAGTAGTTCGGCTTCATGCCCATTCCGGCCACTGATCCCTTCTGCCAGACAGGTGGTAAGGTTTCGGGAGAAGCGGCGATCCTGATACAAAGCCTTTCTGGACCTTGAGGAGGCATCCAATCGCTTGTTCGGCCTGTGCCGGGGGAAGGGTTCAGAGGACGAAACCTCTGGAACCATGTTCTCCGTAGTAAAGGATACGTATGAGCAGGTATAAGCCAGTTCCACACACCCAAACTGCTCTACGGAGGTGGTAAACTTAACGGTTGTGATACACCATGGATCAGCTCTGACTTCGTTATTGACCCTGCTGGGTCCGGATGTATGTGAGAGTTCATGTAAATCTAATTTCGCAGTTGCGGCAGAAAAAAGTAAGTGGATAAGTGAAGGTAAAGTTCCAGGGACATGAATATTGCTATTTGTTGCATCCACGTTTGACTTTCTATGAGTCTTGACACCGTGTGAATATCGTTCCGTGTTTAAAACCACAGCCAAGATATCAACATAATGCTATGTTTGTTGTAATAATCTTTTGAAATAACATGGCTCTCAGGAACCACAACATACGACAGACCATAGCACAAGATCCAGCGGTCTGGTCGAGTGTGGTGGCTGCATCGACCAAGGCCATACTTTTCCGATACCACTACCTACCATATCTATACAGGTGAGTCCAAGGGGCCTTGTACATTCGGAATGAGTTGTAATTATGGGGATTCTTCCTCACAACTGGCAGATAGGAAACTCTGAATATTGATGCGCGGAGTGGGGAGGGCAGCTAAGTCTCTCCCCATCGGCCTCATCTAATATGAAGAAAAGAGAATTGCAATCACAATTTACTTGCGATGGCTCATTCGAGAGCAGGAAAACCTAATGCTAATGCTTTGGAGTTCTTACCAATCCACTCCATGCTTTTAACTTCCGTTCAGACAGTAACCAATTCAGCTTCAGCTTTTGGGTCGAAAGTAAGCATAGCAGGAGCGGAACGCCCTGCCCTCTGGGAAATCAATTGCAGAACACGACCTCTTGAGACATCCTTCTTCAGATACAGCTCCCCGTGCCCATCCCCCACCCTACCCGCCCCCTCCATTTTCCCCAACTTCCTTGCACTTTTCCGGACTTTTTTTAGAAATCCTCCAGTTTCTCCCAAGAAAAAAAAAGTGCCGCTCCGCGAGAATGGAAAGGGGAGGCTTGTATATCGCGTACGAAAGACAGGGAAAAAATGGAGAAGGTCAGCAACTACAAATGTTCTCTCTCAGAAGCAGTCATGAGCCTTCCCCCTTTCCCCTCGCTGGAGATCCCCAACGTACGACGTTCCCTGAAAAGGAATCAGCAGTCAGCGCAATCACTTGAGCAACGTCATCCCGCAGAGGTTAACAATACTTCAAGTAGCGAGAAAAAGGCTGACAGCTTTCAAGGTGTAAATCGAGATGATTTTTTCTAGATGGGAACGTACCAACTGTCTTCCCATGCCACTGCGAGAAGTTCTAAAACTTGTATTTCTTCACCTAGAAAACGATCCCTTCAGCTTACATTTTCTCGCATCAACGAATGGAACGACCGTTGTGCGTCCGCTGTTCTACGAGTACCCTAACGACAAGGAAACGCACAACATCGGCCACCAGTCCCTATGGGGAAGTTCGATGCTTTTCGCTCCAGTCGTTGAGCCGGTTGGTCACTCTTACAATATTTTCGGGAATAACGTTACGATTTTTCATTTTCTTATCATATTAGTGACTTAGGGCAAAACGTCAATCAATGTATATCTGCCGGAAGACACTTGGTACTCCTTATTCGACTATGAGTATGGCCAGCTAATGCGCAAGGGCCATCAGGAATATCCAACTCCATGGACTTCTCTTATTCCGGTTTTCGTCCGAGGTTTTTCTTCATTTTGGTGTCTTTTATCACTATCTTTCTCGAACTCGATTACCTACTGGAACTGGAATGTAGCAAACGGACTCCTGCTCTAGCAGTAAGTGAGCTGGATTTCATGAACTATCGCTAGAACTCTTTCTATTCTCTTCCAGTCAACACGACTATCGCTTTTATTCTTGATGGCTTGCCATTTGCGAACTACTGAGTTGATCCATAAGTAATGGCGTTTTTTCCAATTGGAAATTTTGTTCAAAAAGTGAAACGTTTCACAAGCAAGTTTTATATCATCTAGGAACTAGGATAGGAAACTCTCGTACTACGAGAATATTGAAACAGCTCTGGGTGAGGGGGAGATTTTTGTAAGTTTTTTAATCTTTGAAAGTTGAGTCGGCGAAAATTAGTACCTTCAACAGCTGCCTCTATTTACGTCTATTCGAAGTCCTAAAATCGCTAAACTGCTCCATACATTTGCAATAGGTTGAACTAGAAGTCCCAGCGATGGAATACTCATAGGACGCTTCGGAACCAATTTCGCAAAAAATTAAATTTCAAGAATTTCTTTAGTTGGCAACCTTCAGCTCTATAACACTACTTGCTATCAGAGCGTGCAACACATAAGCTAAGCATTCAGCTTCTTCTTCTTCTTTAGCGTTTGTCCCGCTCAGCGGCGGGGTCCGCTCTTCTAATGTGACGACGCCACTTTTCCCGGTCAAATGCCTGATCGGGGTGAATTCCGGCTATTTTCAAGTCTGTATGCAACGTATCGAGCCAGCGTTGTCTGGGACGTCCCCTAGGTCGCTATTCCGGCACCTCAAGCTGAAGGCCAGTCTTACAGAGCCTTTGCGCGAAGTACGTGGCCGTACCATCGAAGGCGCGTTTCTCGCATTTTGTCAGCTATAGGAGCTACGCCGAACTTCTTGCGTATTACTTCGTTACAAATGCGGTCCAAACGCGTGACGCCCGCAGTCCAACGCAACATTCTCGTCTCCATCACACTTAGACGGGCTTCGACTTCTTTGGTAGCGGGCCAGCACTCGGCGCCATATAGGGCGACTGGTCGAACGACACTTCTTCGACTTTAGCCGTTCTGACATCTTCCTGTCGCAGAGGATCCCCGACATGCATCGCCATTTTGCCCACGCTGCACTCACCCGTGCGCTCACCTCCGCTTTGAGATCTCCATCGGACGTAATTGCTGATCCCAAATACTTGAATGTTTTTGAGCGCGTGAGCTCAGTGCCATCGATCTTAATGGAGCCCGTCTCGGCTCAGGTACTCGGTCTTATTCACGTTTAACCTGAGCCCAAACTTTGCCAGGCGATCAGCCCAAGCTTGCACTTGCTGCTCCAGCGTGCTTTTGTCTTCACATGCAAGCATCACATCATCAGCGTAAAGGAGCGTCCAAGGAATTTCCTTCTGAAGGTCTCGTGTGATGGCATCCATGACGATAACAAAAAGTAGTGGAGAGAGAGCGGCCTTGATGTACCCCAACGGTGATGGGAAATTCCATCGAGGTGCCTGCAAGAGTCCGCACTTGGCTCTCTGGCTTTGAATAAAGGATGCGGACCCACTCGATTAGCTCTTCAGGGACACCGTGTTGTCGCAAGGCGTACCATATAACGTCTCGCGGGACGCGATCAAATGCCTTTTCTAGATCTAGGAAAGGCTACATGCACAGGCTTTTGCTTCTCACGATGTTTCTCAAGCAAAAGGCGAGCAGCGTGAATGGCGTCGATGGTGCTACAGCCAGTTACGAAGCCACACTGGTTGGCAGAGAGCTGGACGATGTCACGAATACGGCCATCAACAATTCGCTCAAAGATTTTCATAGTGTGCGAGAGCAAGCGAATTGGACGGTAGTTCGAGCAATCTGCTGGACTGCCCTTCTTCTTCCAAATCGGAACCGTCGTGCTTTGCAACCAGTCCTTGGGTACCTTCTTCTCTGCAGTGATTTGGTTGAAAAGCTTTGTCAACCATTCTGCGGAGTACCACTGCTGTGACTTCCATAGTCCGCTGCTAGGTCGTCGGGACCTGTAGCTTTACCAGCCTTCATCTTCTTCAGAGCCGCTTCTGTCTCCTCAACGAAATCTTCCGAAGGGGGCCGTATATTGGTGCCGCAGAGGGGATAAGCGGATGGGTAAATTCCTTTGTCGAGATCTTCTCGAAATAGTCGTGCCATCGCTGCAATACCCTCTTTCGGTTCATCAGAAGATGGCCATTCTCGTCATTGATGCCAAAAAACTTTTCTATGTCTTCGGTTTGGCGGTGACGAGACTTGGCAAGTCGGTACAAGTGCCCTCACCGTCGCGAGTCTGCCTGTTTGTCGATGCGATGACTTGTGATTCTGTCCATTATCTGCGAGGTGAAGGTTGCCAACTTCGAAATTCTTGAAATTAGTTCCGAAGCGTCCTATGAGGATTCCCTCGCTGGACTTCTAGCTCAACCTATTGCAAATGTATGGAGCAGCTTAAGCGATTTTAGCACTTCGAATAGACGTAAATAGAGGCAGCTGTCGAAGGTACTAATTTTCGCCGACTCAACTTTCAACTTCAACGACTAAAAAATTTACAAAAATCATTCCTCACCCAAAGCTGTTTCGATATTCTTATAGTACGAGAAGTTTCCTATCAGATGATATTGAACTTGCTCGCAAAAGCTTCCACTCTGAAGAAAATGTTTGATTAAAAAAACCCCATTACTTATGGGCCAACCCAATAGTTTGAAATTTCTACAGCCCATATCTCTGAAGGCAAAGAGGGACTTTCTAGAGACGCCTCTGTATGTCTACTCTCTTACCTTATCGTGCGCATCTCCTTTCCATCGGACCCTCGCAGCCATCACCGCTTCACACCCACACCCCTTTTTGTCGTCAGATGTAGACTGTACCCTTGATATAGAATGGGCGTTGCTAAAGTCAGAATCTACGATTTAGGTGGTTCCATTCTCCCTCGCCAGGCTCCTAACAAAACAACCGCCGAGTCTCGACAAAATCCCTTTGAGTTATTAGTCGCTCCTCACATCTTCAGTGAGTGTATCAAATGGTTCTTGTACGAATATTTTTGAACATTTAACTTGAAATATAATATGAAAGGCAACGAACAAATCACTCCCAGTTTGGTGAAAATAACAACTCAATCTGATTTCAAGATTGAGATTTCAGAGCAAAGAACTC